ATAAGTAGTTTGAAAGTACAACAAATTAATTTTGCAAAATCGAAAGTATGATATCATATTCAGCCCTAAAACATGTTTTTATTACAGTTAACTATAAATATTACTAATTAACTGATTAGTTATACTCTAGTGAATCAGTTTGAAAGCGAAGACAAATTTCTTTTTAATTTTACTCTACTGCTTGGAAAGAATGAATGATTTTCTTTTGAGAAAATGTCATGTTTTACAAATTGATTGCATATTAGGAATTGATTAAATTTAACAAAAATGTAGTATAGTTTTCCAACTTTATGCTTTTAACAGCATATCATTCATTATAAAACATAAATATTGTGCTTCCATATTTTATGCACATTAGCAAGTGTTAAACTCGGACGAGACAATTATTATCGATAATTTATAATATTTTTTCAAGTCAACAATGTAAACACTTGGATGCCAACTTAATGGTCCAAAATGTAAGTGGTCAGCTTGAGATCAGAAGTTCTTGAGATTTCATTGAAGTAGGAGTCTTGAATGGGAGTTGCTGAATAGTTCCATATTGGTACGAAAAAGTTCTCTAGTACTTCCTGGGTTGCAAAGGTTACCTAAGATCAGTTCGTGATGCAAAGGATCAAATAATAATAATATATTCCCATACTAGGACGAAACGGCCGTCCAGTGCTTCCAGGTTTTCAATAATGGTCTGACATTCATCGATTTATTATCACAATCTACACAACCCCAAACTGATAATATTCTTATACATACTTACTTAGTTACGCCTGTTACTCCTCGTGAAGGAGCATAGGCTGCTCACCAGCATTCTCCATCCAACTCTGTCCTGGGCAATCCCTTTTAGCTCCTTCAAGTTCCTATTCATCCTTTTCATATCTTCTTCTATATCTCGACGCAATGTGTTCTTTGGCCTTCCTCTTTTTCGCTTCCCTTCAGGATTCCAAGTTAGGGCTTGCCTCGTGATGCAGTTTGACGATTTGCGTAATGTATATCCTATCCATTTCCATCGTCTTTTCCTAATTTCTTCTTCAGCTGGAAGTTGGTTTGTTCTCTCCCACAAAAGGCTATTGCTGATGGTATCCGGCCAATGGATGTTGAGTATCTTGCGAAGACAGCTATTTATAAATACTTGTACTTTCTTGATTGTGGTTGTTGTAATTCTCCAAGTTTCAGCTCCATACAGTAGAACTGCCTTGACGTTGGTATTGAAGATTCTCACTTTGATATTGGTTGAAAGTTGTTTTGAGTTCCATATGTTCTTCAGTTGTAGGAATGCGACCCTTGCTTTGCCGATCCTCACCTTTACGTCTGCATCGGATCCTCCTTGTTCATCGATGATGCTTACTAGGTATGTGAAGGACTCTACATCTTCCAGAGTTTCGCCATCAAGTGTGATTGAATTGCTGTTCTCGGTTTTGAATTTGAGGACCTTGGTTTTCCCCTTGTGTATGTTGAGGTCTACTGATGCAGAGACTGCTGCTACACTGGCTGTCTTTATCTGCATTTGTTCATGTGTATGCTATAGGAGGGTTAGGTCATCTGCGTAGTCCAATTCGTCTAATTGGTTCTGAGCTGCTCATTGTATGCCATATTCTTATAGTCGATATAAATTACCTTCAACTATCAAATAGTGTTTTTTAAATGTTCACAATGGCTTATAATTCCAGTTATATATTGTTTTAAATAAATAAATATTTTTCATTATTCAATCAACCAATGCTTTAATTTTATTATTCTTGTCAAAAATGAACACAAAGTCGTCTATATATATATTTAATGACTAATTTTTTGTTTCTAATATTTAAATTCATCTTATACTCACGTAACATCTGCTCAAATTTTAAAGGCTCAGTTGCTAGGTCAATTTCTCAATTCATTCAAGCATTAATTTCACTGTGAAATGACTTAACGAAAACAAGAATTATTTCCCTTAAAATATAAAATTCTTAAGTAGATGAATTCATCGAATTTAAATAATCATCTAATAGCTAATGATGTTTTATCAATTTCATTCTATCAGTTAGTATGAAAAGCTCTATTCTCTTAGGCTTTGGTTATTCTTTAATAAAATATACATCTTTACATGATTAAAAATGTTTGAAAATCTTAAACAATCTTAGTTAGTAGACTTATGCATGTATTTTTCTTTTGTACAAAGAACCATTTCTGATTGGTCAATACACATACACTTTGTAGTTTTAATTGTATCTATGTGCTTTCTTTTTAAGAAATAAGTAAAGGGAATTGTCTTACTTTTTTCTCTCTATTCTATGACTATTTAGTTGTGTTTATACGTACTATGTGACATTTCTGATTAAAATTTTATTTCGTATGCAATTGTAGATAATAATAATATTCGAAGTGTAATTACATTTTTTATCGTGATACAGTTTAACATGTACATAACGTTTATATCTATGTTCAATTGTGATTTATGTTAGAAAATTTATGTCAGTAAAAAAATTCATCCTATTTGTTTTAAACAAAGATGGATGGTGGTTAGCAGTAGAATCCAGGATGCACGTTTCGTCACATTTGGGTCTCGTCAGCTGGATGTATCTGCATTCCAGAGTTGATGTTCACTTCGGGACTCGAACCCAGTACCGTTCGCTTCAAATTCCATCGTGTTATCCGCTTAGGACGTCACGTACATCATGGATTCTAATGCTAGCCACTATCCATTTTCGCTTCTAAAGCTTGTTATTTAAGGCAATTATGAGGCAATCCGCACAAGATGCACATATACCAATAAGAGATTGATCAATTACAGTCTTAAACAACAATGGAAAGATACAAGCAAACAATATCAAGTGAATCTATTTATTTTAAGTTGTCAGTAAATTTCTTGTTATCAACGTGAAAATCATAAGAACTTTGTTGTTATCTTTTAGATACACAATTCACGTCAATGAGAATTTGATGTGATAATTTTTATAAGCAATATATATTTACTTTATTAATGACTTAATGGTATTGCAGATAATCAAATTTAGGACCATTATTATTTGCCATGTTGTTTAAGGAAAATGTTAGTACTAATTATCAAACAGTTGTAGTTGTAGGAAATATGCATGATGTCACTGATCGAATGGTTTGTTGTCCAACTATTGAGTTAATTTATTAAAAATCCTAATATTTATTTCAATAGTTGAGATCATGAGTCATTTGAAGCTAGACAACCATGGAAAACCTAGAAGCACTAGACGGCCGTTTCGTTCTAGTATGTGACTCCTCAGAAGTACGCATTCACAACCTCGCCTCGCAGGATTCGAGCCCAGCACCTAACGGTCCCGCGCACGAGCACGTAACCACTAGACCACCGAGCTGGCCGGCATCCAATCATGTTAATGTCTAACTTCAACTAATCCACGAAATTGAGCGACACATCCACCATGATGGTCTAGTTTCAATTGACTCATGATCCCAACTGCTGAAATTACTGCAATCTCCCTCTGATACTCCCTCTGATACTAATATTTATTTATTGTTAGAACTGAGATCAAGTGTACAATTCAGTTTATCAGTAAGCAACGTTAATTATGAATCCTTTTACATATTGGAACTAACATTATTTAGTGAACAATCAATTGTAGATTGATTAAGTTAGTGTAAATCTGGTTAAAATGAATAAATATATTCTGAGCGAGACTATAATTTATGGACGAACAGGTCTTGGATTTTGGTGAGAAATTCAATCACCCATTTGACCGAATAACGTCTTGACATTTTAGCTTATATCAGTTTGTGATGACGAACCGCAAATCGAATTTCTAACCCTAACCATCAGCTGTGAATCATAATCTTTATTATTCAAACTGGTTTATAATCCTCATTTAACCCTAGTAAGTAGGTAGAGATTCTCAAGGTCACTACGGCGTCGCTCAAAGGTTGTCCATAAATTATAATCTCACCGTATTGAGATATCTTATGCGTATGGTGTTGCTGTAAAATGTGTTTTTATTTGCTGCTTTCTCTTCGCTGTCAATTCACAGAGGACTATATATATAACTGCTGGAAATAAAATTTTGTTGGTTCATATTGCAGATTGACTTGACCTGGATAAAATTAGCGAAAATTATACAGTCAGTTTATTTTATTGTATATCAATTCATCACGACACATCCACAACCACATTAGGGATCATAATCAATTATTTCAGGCCTTGATTTGAATGTGCTACCGTTGACCCATTGAATTATCACTCATTAGTTATTAATTCAAGTAACAGATGTAAATTAATAACATATCATAATTTCAATTCCTCAGGATTCAACTGCAATTTTATATTGAAGTTACTTATACTACTTAACCATTTTAACGAAAATAGGAGGAACTAGGTACGGATTGGCAATCTAGTGATTGAAAAAATCTGTTAATTGTAAGCTAGATAATAAAATATGCACATAATATGCAATCTTATGCTTATCTCTTGATCACAAGGTTCTTAGTTAAACTTTGTATGTCAGATAACGATTCAGAACTACTGTTAATCCTTCTGTCAATTAGACAGTTTACATATCTGAAAGTACTGGATGGTCGTTTCGTCCCAGTATAGGACTCCTCAGAAATGCACGGGATTCGAATCCAGGACTTTCAGTTTCATGTGCAAGCACTTAACTTCTAGACCAATGAACCTGCTTTCAGGTTTTCAATAGTAGTTTAGCTTAGATCAAGTCATAAGTCCAACTTACTACAATCTCTACAACCCCCTATTATGATTTCACATATCGTAAGATTTTGATTAGTTGTTAAATTCTAAATAAACGACAAATGTATGAAATACATCAATAAATGGTTAATAATTTATTATACTTAAGTAAATTTCAGATTGTAAATATTAGAATAAACAAAAAATAACCGTTTTGTTAAGTCTAACATTTGATTTATCCAATAACAGACTTACAATGCTACATTGTCAGTGATTTAACAATGGAAACTGATCTATTTATTCACCAAAATAGTATTAAAATCATTCTATTTTCTTAATTATTACTATTTTATAGCCTCTCCTTCTAAAACACCAATGAATGATGCTAATAAACTAATCAAATCAATTTCTGATGGTGGAAATTCCATTATAAATTCTGAATTAAATACACAACAATTATTAACAGAAAATTTGTTACCAAGTAAATATAATTCTACTATGGAAAAATCAAATATTCTTATAAAAAAATCACAATCAACATTTGAAGTTAAATTACAACCAAATTCTAATCTATTAGATAATGAATATAAAACAAATTTATATGATCCAACACAAATCAAATCAGACTATTTATTTCCATCAGAAATTATAGATATAATGACTAGTTGTACTATTGCTGCATCTTCAATAGGATCATATTTATCTAATTCTATCATTGATAATTCACAATCAATCATTTATTCATCAATGAATAATACTTTATTAAATACAAATTCATTCCTTTCAGATCAGTCAATCAATACAAATACAAATATACCATTATTTCAACTGAATCAACAATTTCATCATAGAAAATCAGAACAAACTACTAATCATTTAGAGAATAGAACTGATATTGATAAATATATTAATGAGAATAATTTAAGGAAATTAAATGAAACCCAAGATAACTATGATAATGTTATATCAAAGGAAATGATACACAATAACAGTAATAGTAATAATAGTAATAATAATCAAAGTGTAAATTGTAACTATAATAATTTGTCATGGATTAATAAAGAAATAAATGAAAATAATGAATTATTAATAAATGATAATTCACTTTCAACTTTATATAATCATAATACATTTTGTTTATCAGCTATGAATGAACGAATATCAAATAAAGAAAATCAACTTATTAATCAATCGAAAAGTAAAGTTTATTTAACAAGAAATGAGAAACTTCCATTAACAGTTGATACAAATCATCAATGTATTAATAATAATAATAATAATTTCACAATGTTAAGTAGAAGTAATATGTTTATTAATGATAGATTTGCACAAAATGTCAATTTATTGATTCACAATAATAATGAAGTTAACAATGATAATGGGGAGCTGGTTAATCATATAAGTGAAGACGATGATGAAGGTGATGATAATGATGATAAGGATGATGAAACTATGAATAATACTGGAGAACGGTGTGAAAATACTACTACTAATAATAACGGAAGACATTGTTCTATGCAGTTAGATGAGTTTAAAAATACAGTGTTACATAGTGATCATGAAAATGATTACAATGAAATTAATTCTTCATCTTCACAAGATAGATTTATTCATTTATTACATCAATCTCATTCATTCGAATCACCAATACAGACAAGTTGCTGTGAAATGCCAACTAGTGAAGTATCATCACAAAGAAGTATAGTTGATGATGAAGGAGATGATGTCGAAGTGGATGATGATGACGATGATGATGATGTTGATGATGACGAAAGTATGACTGGTCAATGTGGAATAAATCATCGTCAACATCATTTAACTAGTGGTATTGAAAGTAGCTTAAGTTGTGGTGGTCCTGGTAGTAGTAGTGGTATTAGCCTCAATACGAATAGTGGAAATAATAATGGTGGTGGTGCAAAACGTCGTGGTCCACGTACAACAATTAAAGCAAAACAATTAGATACACTTAAAACAGCATTTGCTGCAACTCCCAAACCAACAAGGCATGTTAGAGAGTCATTAGCACAAGAAACTGGACTTTCAATGCGTGTTATTCAGGTAAATCTAATAACCTATTCCCTTTTTTTCTTAATGTTTACATTTTTTTGTCATATTTCAATGGAGAAAAGTAAATAAGTTGAGGTTCTACTTATCTAGTTGTTTTTCCTCCTAGTCAGTTTCATTATTGTTATTGTTGATATTTCATTATTCGACAAGTAAAGTAAATAAATTTTTAATCATTTTATTATTCTTCTCATCATCATCTTTATAATTATAATGATCATAAGGATTATATTTTTGGATAATGTCAGTTTATGTTTTCTTCAATAAAATGTATCACAAGATTTTTTTAGGTCATTGTCTTCGTTTGCTTTCTTCGTATCTTCTTGGTGTTTTGTCCTAATTCCTTTTATTTTCTTCCTTCTTAAACTCTCATCTTTTTATGAATTTTTTTTTGCCTTAGTTTTATCTCATATCAAACCTGTCTATTATGTCACAGTTGAGTTGAGTAGAATGACATAAGAGTTCTTTTACTTAAAACGTGTGTCATCTGTTAGACAGAAACAAATTTCGTTTATGCTTTCACTTAGGTTCATATACTCTTGCAAGTGTACAAACATACATGCATTTATCAAGATATAGAACAGCATCTTAAAGTATGGATGTATATATGTAAATGTGCATATATACACATGATTGGTTTAAGACTGGCCTTTTGTCTGTATGTACCTATAAATGAGAGCCACATGTGTAAATCTAATAAGATAGTAATATATGATAGAATACTTCAAGCAGTAACTTAATTCAATGAGGGCTGTCATCCACAGGCTGTTACTTAATTCTCTATATTATTATTATTTTCTATAATTTTGGAAAACTTATTTATCTCAATAACATTATTCATTCATTATGAAAAAGAAAGTTGTGGAAAATGGAGGAATGATCAATTATGTGTGAATTGATCTATCAGAAAAATGATGAATAGGCGAAAACTTCTAAGAATACTGTTTTATTTTAAGTCTGTGGTAATCATAAGGCAAGAGAGATCGAAAATTGAATATTGGACTGAAAGGGTATTCCGCGCAAATGAATTTCGGTATGAAAAGATCTTATATTATAAGGTATAACAGTCATATAAAGACAGTTTTTTTGTGTAAACTTATCTCTAAAGGACAGCGCTTTCGCAAATTTGATAATAAGTTTAGAAGTAAAAGGTTAATTAAGCTTGTTTTTTCTATCAGGTCGATTATTTCATTTCAAAAGTTTAACGGCTCTTAACCTTTTGATGTAGAGTGTACAATATACCATTATTTTTTGAAATATTAAGACTTACCAATTATTAGTTAGGTCTGGCAAATTTCCGTATTGTCAGTCTACTCAAACATTTGATATTGAATATACATTTCACTCAAAAAAGAATCTAGTGACATTACATGTGAGTTCAAAGAAAAGTGGCTGACAACTTTATTACGTCATCAATATTATTTGTTATTTAGTTCAAAAAAAGTAAGCAGTGAACAAGTATAAATAAGAACTTTCGTCTAAATTTAATCGAATAGTTTCACAGCTTTTGGGCGCCGACCTAATGTGAGACATTAAAGAGAAAGAATATATTTATAAAATCTCAGTGAAAGAATTTGAAGTAAATCCAACGTTTCGCCTGGCAGTCTGGTCCAAGCTTTTTCAAGATTGCCAGGTGAAACGTTGAATTTACTTCAAATTCTTTCACTGAGATTTTACAAATACATTCTTAATCTTTAGTGAACAAGTATGTTCATAGCAAGAAGCTATTGATGAATGAAATATTCATTTGAACTCTGTAACTTATGTACGCTGATTGTTTTCAGATCAGTAAAATTATTTAAGTAAAATAAATATATATATATGAAAATCATTGCATAATGACGCAACACTATAACCACGTCCATGTATATGAACTAATTCTCAAGTTTCACTTTTAGTGTTAGATCTAATGGTATTACGTAACTGACCAAATTGGAATGGAATGATATTTTATTCTGTTCCCTAACAGCTAAAAAGCTAAGTGGTTATAGTGTAGTGAACACAAACACCAGTAGGAACAATCGAATGTATTTAATACAAAATTACAGGACTTGTTAATAAAATATAGCAATCATAAAGTAAATGCTTAATTTGCAAAATGTTCACCAATTCACTCAAAATGACTCAGACTTCATTGTTCTTGCATTTTCATACAAATTGCATCCTGTTTCGATTCTTTAGTGTTCGATCATCTTGTCTCTCTGCTGCCAGACCTTCTGTTTATGACTAACACCATATACTACTTATGTTAATATAAGTAGCACACACCACAATAGTACTAGGGTAAATGTTTGGAGCCAAAGCATTCTCCTTTCAATCGTTTGAAATTTTAAAAAATGCTTTGAAAAAAGCTGTTGATTTATTGACTAATTAGAGTCATGCACTTATAACAATCATCATCATGTACAATCAAGACTACTAAAATGTCTACAGTGAGAGTAAATGACTGTTTTTTTTAAAAATAGTACGATTAGTTCTAAGTTTTTAAAACTATTCTGGTAGTCAATATTAGAAAGATAAATACTTTTATTTGTAAGCAACTTCATACAATAATTAATGCTCTTACATAAATAAAATCTAGTTGATCTTCATTCGAGAAAATAATGAAGTAAAAATCGGTTATACTGTTGGATATATATATATATATTCAGAGAGGGGTTTTATGGATATTATAGTAATTTCATAGTTAAATTTATGAGTCAATTGATGCACACTTCTGAGGAGTCCAATACCAGACCGAAAAGGCCGTTCGGTGCTTTCAGGTTTTCCATGGTGGTCTAGCTTTAATGAAATCATCAATTCAACTATGAATATCTATATGCCAATCTCTTTACTCGACATAGAACATTTATTTATCCCATTCAGTTTTCATTACCATCTTTCGATTAGTAAGTTGTGCTATTAACTAAACGAAATGTCACATTAAAAGAAAATTAGTTAAATATATTACTTATGAATGATTTTTAGAGAGATTTGTAGGAGAAATAGGATAAAGCATTATAATCTAATTTCTAAGATATTTAAATGTTTTATGAAGAATTTGGTAAAGTTGAATATAAAAAACTTATAATATTGAACGATTAGCAAAAAAAGGAACATGTGTACAAGTTGGATCATATGAATTCTATAAATGGTCACTCAAATAATCTTTCGTTGAAATTTTATCACAGTTCCAGGTTTTCTATCAACCTAGATACATTTTGAACTTGTTTAGATTAATTTTGATAAGTATACATATATAAAAATAATATTACTGAATATACATATCTTAAAAGTAAGTCTGTCTGGCGCTGAATCATAACATAGGTAACAGAATGAAATAAATTAACTTCCGTTATTTAAATAGTATATCATTATCATTGTAGTTATGTACAAGTTCCAGACACAAATTTTACCAGAGGCGTTCCATTTAAAAGGTCATATACATTTCTAATCAGTTGAATAGTCTTCCTTATTTATAAAAAAAAGAAGGTAGAAACCGTTTCAAGTGATTGATAAGCCTTTATTTGTAACATCTGAACATTGCGCAAATTTTTCCATCAAATTTAAGCAATTATGCAAAACTTTTCTGAAAATCAATTTTTGTATGTATGTGCTTTGTCTTGTAACTAAATTTATACTGGATGGTTAAGTACATATGTCAGAATCATAGAAGCGTGTCGAAATTCATATATACGTCTACATAAAGGCAATTTTAATAAATAGATCTGAGTAAACACAATCACATACATATACACTTAAGTTAACATACATATATATGTATTAGGATGTTTTATAATCATACGAGCATTCAAAGTTCTCAATGTCATTAATGCAAATTAAGTTCCTATTCTTTAAGTTTGTAAACTTAGTGTGCCAGAAGGACTTACAATTTAAAATAGATTGAAAAACCACTCATATTTGTGTTTTGGTTGACTAAACATCAAACTTTAGAATTAAAAATAGTATTCGTTAAGAAACATGTGAATTATTTGTCGGTTATATACAAACAGTATCCTGTTTATGCAATATGAAGACAAATAGAAAGAAAACTTTACTAAGTATTATGTAAGAATTTTATGGTAAAATACTTATGGATTAGTACATTCAATTTGGAATGTCGAAGATTGACTCATTTTAATAATATTCATCCAAAAATCTAATTGAATTAAAAAGTTTGAGTATTTATATTAGAATAATTTCTATTTACGTAGATAATAGCACATTAGAGTGTTTAGTTAAGAACTAGGTTGATTAATTTGTAACTAAGGGATTAATTATAGATAAATAAGACAATAGTGGACGGTTGCACAGTTTCGTGGATTAGTCAAAGTTAGACATTAACACCGTTAGATGCCGGTCAGCTCAGTGGTTTAGAGGTTAAGCGTCCGGACGCGAAACCGATAGATCCTGTGTTCGAATCTCACGAGGTGAGATCATGGATACGCACTACTGAGGAGTCCCACACTAGGTCAAGCTTCAATTGACTCATGAATTCAACTATTAAATTACTATAATATCCACAAAAACTCCTCTCTGTAAATAACTACTAGTCTACTATGTTCCAGTATAAGTATATATTTACGATTTATTACATTACTAGAAACGTACGCTCAATTAACTGTGTTATCTGAGGAATTTATAGTAGATATTAATATTATATACTATCAATTTCGAAAAGGAAAACCAATAGCAATGCTACCAAAATAATGGCTTACAATTAGCTTTCAACTAATAACTAGGTAGTATGTAGTAATCATTCATGAAATTAATATTTTTTGAATGGATTATTTCAACAACTTATATCAGCATTATTTCCTCATAAAACTTAAATACATAAAAATTCTTAATATAAACTTTAAACGGATTGTTAAATATACAGATTATGTAAAAAGAAAAACGACCTCTGTACAACCTATTCAAGGAGGATAGATTGTAAAACTTTTAATAATATATTCTATTATCATTAGATTTGTGAATATTGAGTAATTCGTTTGTTGAATATATGTTATAAATCAGTCAGTCAGTAACAACGTAGAACTTCGTACGTACGTACATCAGTTCGAGTTGCCACACCACATTAGCACAGAGATGCAGTGGTCGATTCAAATCCCGTAGTGGTAGAGGTAGCAAGAGTATAAGCAGTAATCGGGAAGATTAGGGTTTGGAGATGTTATTTAAAGAGTATAATCCAGTGAAAGAAATTTGGAAAGAGGGACATGAAGAATTCAGAAGATTAGTTTGGGAGAACACAGAGAGTGGATGCACCTGCGCCATTGCCAACGATTTTGAGCCATGTCATTCAGGGTCTCTAACCATCGGTTGCTGTCATCTCGCGGTCCCCAACCAGGTAGTCTACACCTACCAACATGACTCAGTTCACTTGTCAGTGACTTCATGGACTTGTGCCATGTTTTGGTTTGGCCGCCCCTAGCTTTCTTCCAACCTACTCCTATACCACTGAACATAGCACGTCGAGGCAGTCGGTCGTTGGGCATATGTTATAAATGCTTGATTTCAAGTCATATTGTATATTTGTATAGAGTAGTAACATTACCCAATTGTTTAATTCAAAGTAATATGAAGTGAGTTGAAAATGATTGAAATCTTATTTCCATGGTGGTCTAGCTTCAATTGACTCATGATCTCGACTGTTGAAATCCTATTATTAAGCCACCATTCCAGTTTAAATAATAAATTTAAATTAAAATAGTATAACACTATTATTAAGTCGATTATTCTTAATGAAGCAAATATTTCGATTGTAATAATTGTAATCGATTTTTGTTATTCATACTTTACAGTTGGGATGCCAGCACAAAATACTAAATGGGATGATATGACTTTGATGTCAACTGATTATTATGTGGAGATCGATTTAAGTCTAACAAATTATATTCGTTTTGGGGTTAAGCATTCACGCGTTAAACCGAAGTTCTTGGGTTCGATTACCGGTTAGCGGTTCGTGGATGTACTTACTTATTTACTTACGCCTGTTACTCCTAGTGGAGAATAGACCGCTGAACAGCATTATCCAACCCACCCTGTCCTGGGTCTTCCTTTCTAGTTCTATCCAATTGTTGTTCATTCTTCTCATATTTGTCTCCCATTCCTAGCGTAATGTGTTCTTTCGTCTTCCTCTTCTTCTTTGACTTTGAGGGTTCCAAGTGAGTGCTTGCCTTGTGATACAGTTAGTTGCTTTTCTAAATTTGTGTCCTATCCACTTCCATCGCTTCTTCCTGATTTCTTCCTCCACTGGAATTTGGTTTGTTCTCTCCTACTGTAGGTCGTTGCTGATGGTGTCTGGCCAATTGAACCGAAGTATTTTACGTAGAGAACTGTTAATAAAGACTTGTATCTTCTGGATAATGAGTGTGGTAGTTCTCCAGGTTTCCGCCCCACACCTTACAACTGTCTTGACATTTTTACTGAAAATTCTGGCCTTGGTGTTGGTTGACATTTATTTTTAGTTTCAGATGTTCTTCAATTGTAGATATGCTACTCTTGTTTTGACGATCAGCGCCTTCACATCAGCATCAGATCCACCGAGCTCATCAATGATACTGCCCAGATATGTAAAGGTTTTTACATCTTCCAAATCTTTCCTGTTAAGTGTGATTTAATTGGTGAGTGTTGTGTTGTAACGGGAAATCTTGCTTTTCCCTTTTTGTTTGCTGAGGCCTACTGCTGCTGAGGCTGCTGCTACACTGGTCATCTTCTCCTGCATTTGTTAGTGTTTGTGGATGTACACTGCCAAGCAATTCTATACCAAAATGCTTCCAGATTTTCAGTGGTATTGTAACATAGATTTATTCATGATCTTGATAAAATGCAATCTTCTCCACAATCCTTTATTGACAGTTCATAATTTACTTCATATTTTAATAACATACTTTTAAATCCTCAATGACTGTCCACTATATAGAAATAATAATAATAATCTGTTTTTATTAAGAACAAAATCTATGTATTTATCAGTAATAAAAACGTTTTTCAGATATATTATTTGATTCTATATTTTAATGAAGTGAATAATCTACATGTTGTCTCACTAATAATTCATCGTTTTATTGATCAACAGTTGGAGTGCTTTGAAAGAACCTTCATGTAGTACATTATTTGCATTCGTAAGTCGCCTTGTCTACTAGAAGTGTGTTTACGATATGTGGTGTAATATTCAAGGGTGATAAGAAAATGTATAAGATGATGATGCTGAATTTGCTAAGATTTTTATAATTGAATTAAAGTCTGTTTGGTCATTGCAGTAGAAATGAAATGTACTTAACCTGTTAGTGGTAACAATTGTTAATATGTTTGGTGATTTTCTGGCATGAGAATATGGTTGACTAACTCATGGGATTCATAATATTTCGGTCTAGCAATAAGATGACTACATCCATCCAACAAGGACTTATCATGACAATCGCTTTTTTTGAAATTATTTTGTGGACTCTTTTGATCTTCACTTTGTCAAAATCCCTTTATATATATGTGTGGCGTGGTGAGATACAATTGGATCAATACACAACTGTCACAATTCCTACGTCGTTGATAGCCGGTAAACAGTAATTTGTATTCAAACTGTAATTTATCTAACTTCTTGAAATTGAACATAATCTTCATAATATTTATTCTACATGTTTTGTTTTTATAAATTGACGTCAATAACAAAAGAGAAGACATACAAAACTGATTATGGAGAGTTTGTTAGTATTTACTTCATGGACTATATAATAAAATTATCATCATAGACTAGTTTAGTTTATTTATATACATACATGGATTAATTGGTTAAATGGAAAGGATTTACATTTTATTTAGTTACTCTGATAAAGAAATAATACTGAATCCAAACAGGAAAACCAACACTTTAACTATATCCTTCTTTGATACACACGTATAGAAGTGAACACTTATGGTCATATGCATGAATACTCATACTTTGATATTTAAATGAACATAAATTGTCTGAATCCTACAGCTTATCCATATTCATACACACACACACGTGCATAGATTTAGTGATTAGTTAAATCAACAAGATGATTTTTCATTTTTTTTTCTAGCTATATTCATCAACAACAATATCTAGCATTAACTGGTCATTGAATAATAGAACAAACCAAATATCTGTCAACAAATCTACTAACACCTTATGTTATGTTCCTGTTGATGAAATATATACAATAACTAAAAAGAAAAATGGAATTGTATAACGTCTATTCTACTTATTATCTGTATATTTATGTGTATTGATTTGAGTTTGTTTGTGTATAAATATCTACTAATCTAAAGGGGAAAAAATAATTGTAGAAAGCGAATTAATGAGTAGGAACTCAAATATACTTGAAAGTAAACTCATTTGCATTTCACCACAAACAATAAAAATAAAACAAATAAGAACATGAATGAAAATAGAAATTCTGTTGTTTTGTTTTCTCCCATTTTTTTTTAAAAAACCTCAATTTACTGCTTACATTATTCTTAGAGTTAAATTCTATTATGATTATGTAATTATTCATTTTTTTTCCTGTTTGTATTGAGTTTATTTTTTTAATTTATCATTCAGCTACTTGGTGATTCTTTCCTTTTGTAAGGGCGGGGGGAAGAGGCGGTAGAGGGAATTAGTATAATCATGAACAGACAAGTTACGAATGTAAAATCACTTTATTTTATGGTCACGAGGATTTGTTTTGTTTTATTTAACTTAAAAAGATAACAGAATACTGACGTTTTAAGCTTTTGTTTTTTATTGTGAACAGTTAATTTGAAGTTTGTTTAAGTGTGTATTGAAATCGTAGCTTGGATAACTTTAGTAAATCATAATAAGAAATAAATTATTCTATCATTTGAATATTTATACGATTTAAATTACCTCATGGATACTTTTGTTTTATTGTTTTAAGTGAAGAATGTGCGGAATTGAAGTTGTGTTATTTGACTTAAAGTATTTTGAAACATTATGAATAATATGTAAATAATATGAAATATCACAGTAAATAGATATCATATACAGAGAGGGGTTTTGTGGAACATCCACGACCCCACCCCGCTCGTGGGATCCGAATCCAGGACCTTCGGTCACGCACGTGAGCGCTTAACTCCTAGACCACCGACCGTGTTAACGTCTAACTTCAACCAATCTACAAAATTGCACCCCCGCCTGTTATGAGATAGTAACTCACTGAAGATAATGATGCAGCGTTGCTCAGTTTCGTGGATCGGTTGAAGTTAGACAATAACACTGTTGGATGCCGGTCAGCTCAGTAGTTTAGAGGTTAGGCACACGAAACTGATAGGTCCTGTGTTGGAATCTCGCGAGGTGGGATTATGGGTGCGCAATACTGAGGAGTCCTATGCAAAAAAACGAAACGGTCGTCCAATGCTTTTAGGTTTTCCATAGTAATCTAGCTTGAGCTAACTGATGAATTCAACTATAAAACAAACAAAGCATAATAATTAATCATTATCTTTTCTACTATTAATAAATATGGCAAATTAGTCTAGTTATTCATATTGAATATTACAAGACTAAATGAGTTGTTTTACATATATTTTGTGAACAAATATGCTTTTTGTAAGGAAAAGAAATCTTTCTTTTCTGTACTGATACATATGTTTGTCGATGGTAAAAGAGTGTCTGTTGAACTGTTGAAATGTTCTAAAATTCAAACTTCAAAATGTAAGCATACATATTAAAGATTATTATTTCGTAAACATTTATTATCTTCTTAATGTATGTACATATATATCTGTAGTCAGCTTTTGACAACTTTTCTTTCTGGTTTACGAGGATTTTTTAAATTTTTTTTCGTATGGTTAGATTCATTATTCACACTATATGTTGAAGTTGTTACCAGATATTTGTATACAAATAGTGATATTCGAACGTCATGTGCTTACGACCCTTTGGTTGATGTATATTTTTATATAGTTATGTTTATTATTGTTTTAAAATATTTATTTTTTAAGTACATTCACTATGACTTAGTTGATAAATACATCTATCATCATTTTCAAGACATAGTTATTAAATGAAGGGTGTCTCGACTTCTAAGAAATGTCTAGTATATTTATTGTATCTGTGATAAAATAACGTGAACAAGAATGTAAGTTGTGTAGTTGAGACAATATGCACCTACATATATGTATATAAACACAAATAAAATTGACATAATGTGTTGACAAATTTGTTTTACAATATAAAAAGGGAAACAAATCATATAGCACATAAACCCCGTCCAAAAACAAACAAACAAACGAAACAACAGGTAATGAAATAAACACGAAATGAGAAAATGGAATACAACAGAAACTTTCCTTTAAGACAAAGAAATAAATGGGGAAATTAATTTACTTGAAAATTTGGATTTCGAATTCAAGATAAGATTAGAATGATTTATTCATTATCTTCACATGATCTAAAACTGAGAATATAATACAAAAAAAGACAACAACTGGAAAATAAATATCCGGTCAATATTAATCATAAAGTTCCTAATATGATCAATAATATATAGTTTGTATACAACTGTTTGTGTGTAGTACATGAATTCATCTGATATGATGCACTGTACACTCATTCCCCTACTTGTTTGTAGTCATAAACTATATTATTATTATTATCTATTTGATATAAAGTTCAGGTGCAAATGATCCAAACTTTATCAAAATGTAATGCGTAATGGTAGTAATCTTTACATTCGGGTGTCAACCAAAATGAATTAATTCTATCAGATTATATTCAATATGAGTTTAGTTTAGTTAATTGAATTGATATTTTATTGATAAAATTTGATTACAAAGTGATCAAACTATCTGATATCGATTATTAATAAGCATA